GACCCCAACGCCATGTACACACTTCTGCTGGACTTTATACAGGTGGATGCACACAGGTACGTACGTCATACACATATACAATGACATATACACACACACATACACACACAGTGACACACACATACACACACAGTGACACATACACACACACATGCACACACACACATACACACACAGTGACACACACACACACACACACATACACACACAGTGAAACACACATACACACAGTGACACATACACACACACATACACACACACACATACACACACGTACACACACATACACACACACACACACACACGTCATGTACACACTTCTGCTGGACTTTATCCTTTGCCCCCTTCTCTGGGCTCCTGACTCTTTCTTGTCTTTCTACTGCTACTTCTTGGCTTCTTTTTTCTCCTGTCTTTCTGCCACACCCCTGATCTTCTGGTAGGAAAGATCTACATCTAGCCTTCTCGGACAAGGGCGAAGAATCTCGGATGTTCCGTGTGCAAGTTGCGTACGTTAAAGATCCCTTGGTGGTCTAAAATCGATAAGAGTAGACTTCGGCCGCCACCCGTGCAAATTCAAAATTTCCTGCCTATTGAAAATATTTAATATTATACCTCGCGCTCTAATATGACATTATGCAGTTGCGAGCGCCGTAAAACACTTACCAAAGAAAATAAATAAATATAACCCACATGCGCATATACACACGCTTACGCACACTCTTACGCACACTCTTACGCACTCACATACGCACAAACGCACATACATACACACATATACATACATGTACATAGACACACATACACATAATACATACACACATACAGATACGTACACATACATACTCACATACACACACAAACTCATACACACATAAACTAAACTCATACACACATAAACTCATACACACATAAACTCATACACACATAAACTCATACACACATAAACTCATACACACATAAACTCATACACACATAAACTCATAAACTCATACACACATACACACATACACACATAAACACATACACACATACACACATACACACATGCACACACGTACATATTCACACGTACATATACACACGTACACACATACACATACACACGTACACATACATACACATACATACACATACACATACATACACACACAAACACAAACACACACACATACCTACATACACATACATTCACACTCAAAAGCACATACACATACATACACATACATACACACACACACATACACACACATACACACACACATATACACACACACACACACAC